ACCCTCCTCCATAGTGCTACTCCTTGATGACTATGCATTCAAATAAGCAAGCCTCTGGGGGCATTCTTACTCAAAGTACTACAAGGAGGTTTAGGGGGTGTGGCCTTGCTAGAGGAAGCTTGTCACTGGGAGAGAGCTTTGAGAGTACATAGCCTCCTCCTACTTCCTTTTTGCTTTTTTCCTGCTTCATGCTTGTTGAAGTGTTGAAGTGTGAACTTTCAGTTTCCTGCTCCAATGTTTGTTGCCTGCTGCCATTACCCCCCCCCATGATGGACTCATGTCCTCTGGAACCATAAGTCCAAATAAATTCTTCCTTCTATAAGTTGCTCTGGTCATGGCATTTTATCACAGCAACAGAAAAGCAACTAACACACAGTGTATCACTCTGCATGTATTCCAAGCAGGTCTATAACTCACTTTGTAGCCCAAGGTGACTTCAAACTCATGGCAACTTCTCCTTCAGTCTTCCAGCAGCCCTGAAATTGAAGGCATGTGCCTTCCTGAAATCTGTCTTAGGCTACTTATCAGATAATCTTTTGTCTGATCACTACAATTTCTTACATTAAATAGAGCTCCAAAACAAAATACTTATGGCATTTTGGTACACTATTAACAAATCATGTGTTAAGTTTAGTACACTACCCTTTCAGCACTGAATAAATATTAATACTCATAGTACTTTTCAATCATGCACATTTAGCAAATGGATAAGGTAGTAAATATCTATATGGTTCATTAACAGTGTAAAATAATCTTTCTTTTGAAAATCTAGTTAACATAAAATGTAATAAAAAGAAAAACTTAATTGATAATTTCAAGATGCTCCATTGGAAATTAATCCTGAATCCCCACAATATATAATGCTTATATGTATGTGTATATACACACACACACACACACACACAAACACAGTGAGATATTCACTTTGTCTGCATCTGTGGCACTGACCACGCCCATTGGGGGTGGAGACAGGGGCGGAAGTGACCTGGGGAACTAGGTCTGAGGAGGAGCCAGGAATGCTCTCTTGCTGGTGGGACAAGGAGAGGAGAGCATCTGGTGGAACCTGGTGGTGTTCATCTGTCTAGGTTGTAAGTTATTTCTCCCTGAATAAATATGTTTGGCCTATTTATTTATCCTGATCCTTATTAAACCATGATACACACACACACACACACACACACACCCTGTATTTTGAACCCCAAATTCATCTATCTTCATACCTACTTGAATGGATAGTTTTCACTTGGGATATAAAACGAATTTTGAGAAACCATTAAATCTCAAATTTATTTATTCCGTTGGTGGTAGACAGTCTTTTCTAAGTGGTAGAAATATGATACATCAAAGACTGAGTTTCCAGGAGCACATACAGAAGGAAGCTATGGACTTCAAGGACATTGCTCTGTTTTATTTGGTGGGAAACCATAGTATTGTCACCAGGGATACTATTCTGGGATGAAATGCCAAGGCCGCAGCAACTTGGGAGGAAAGTTTATTCAGCTTATGCTTCCATATCATGGTTCATCATCAAAGGGATTTAAGACAGGAACTCAAGCAGGGCATGAACTTGGAGGCAGAATCTGATACAAAGGCAATGGAGGGATGCTGCTTACAGGCTTGCTCCTCATGGCTTTCTTAGCCTGCCTTCTTATAGATCACAGTACAACATACTCAAGGGTTACAGTGCCTACAATGGTGTGGACCCTCTCCCGTCATTCAGTAATTAAGAAAATGCTCTACAGGCTTGCCTATAACTCAGTCTTATGAAAGTATTTTCTCAATTGAGGCTCCCTCTTCTCTGATAACTCTAGCTTGTGTCAAGTTGACACAAAATTAGCCAGTGCACATAATTATTAATTTGTATATGGAGCGTGAAAACTGAGAAAATGCTCAGATTAAAAATCACGTTTAGAGATTATGAAGGCAGAATAACATGATCCAAAATTTAAGCTCAAATGTACATTATGGGCACTATGAATACTTGTAGCTTGCTCTTCAAAAATTCAAACAGAATGAGTTTGCCCTGTGTAAAAAGACTAAAACATATATGTTCCTCTTTCACTTGAGTGTGTGTGTGTGTGTGTGTGTGTGTGTGTGTGTGTGTGTGTTTTCTGAACTGGGAACTGAGACCTTTTAATCTGTAGAGTAAATACTTGCTTCCTTGTGAGAAAGGCAGGGAGGGGGTGGGCAGGGAAATCTTTTTTAGGTTGCCCAAGAAAACAGTTTAGAAATGTCTGACACTTGAGGAAAAACAAAAGAAAACAAAACAAAGACAAAAAAACAGCACAGGAAGACCTTCTGTTCTTGACTGGAGGCATTTCCCTTCCCAGCTTCTGACAGAACACACAGTTGAAGATATACACAACCCCATACTGCTCATCCCCTTGGTCCTGACTTGGCAGCTTTCCTAATACCAAGATGAGGTGAACAGGACAATGATTAAGACTCCCACCCCAGGCTGGCTTCTGCTCCAAGGAGCTTTAACTCAGTGGGACAGGCTGCATGCCATTTGTTTTTTTTTTGCCTCTGAAAAGGCCAAGATTCATTCTGCTTAGCCTTCCTGCCCCAAGAGGAACGTGACTTAACTTCCAGTTTTTATGCAGTAAGACGTGACACTGTGAGACCTGTCGGGAAGGTGCTGGCAGTCTGGGAGGAATTTGGATAAGTGTTTCTCACTCCAGTGTTTTCATGTGACCTCTTGTTCTCAATTTAGATACATCTTGACCTGGAAAAGGTGGGTGTGGCTTGCCACTCTACTTTTGGCTTATCCTGTGTTAGGATGGATATGCATGTTCCTCTATTCCCTTTTCCTACCCCGAAGGAATCTCTTCCCATCTTCTTTGCAACCTGCCAACAGAGCCTTCTCCCTAGATGTATACACACATTCACACATTGCTTTTGTGAGTATGGACCTCATTTCCAGAGAGAAAAAAAAATATGCGAGTCCCTGAGACAAAGGCAAAGAACTATAATCACCCCGAACCAGTCCGCCAGCCCCTCACTTCTCTGGCCAGAGATCACGGAATATCTATGTGTCTGGTAGCCTCTTTAAAACCTCTCAGATAGATAGTACAGCACTGGAGAAAATGGTAGCTTTTGCATTTCTCTGGCTCCTCCTTTATCAAATGATGGTTTTTATATATTAGATATTAGGCAAACCTTGGGTGACCTGCTTTTTTTTTTTTTTTGAGTTTGCCTCCCTCCCCCGTTTTTCTTTTTTTCTTTTTTTTTCCCCTCCCTTGCGGTAAAATCGTGCTGAAGAAAGAGGGCACTAGTGTACAGCCCAGATCGCATCCTTGCACCGTCTGGATTGGAGCTGAGGTGTCTGTGAACCGAGGGCGGCTGCAGTCCTCTGACCTGGGGACCAATAGCTCTGTCTACCGGGACTCAGGTAGGTCTTAAGTACATACCCCAAACTGGCTCAGGTGAGCAGATATCTTCCTGCGGTGAAGCCCACCCCTAAAGGGAGATACTGTTCCGAGCTATTGCATTTTTCTCCTGGATCCAGGAGGATCTTCGTTTATTTATCTCTTTTAGTCCTGCATGTCGGAGACGCGGTGGGGAGCGGTGGGCGTCTGGCTGAATTCCTCCCTCCTTTGTGTCTTGCTTCTTGTGCTTTCACTCCCAGCCTGCTCCCTCAGCCCCCTTTTCATCTTGACTCTCACCTTGAGAAAGGGGAGGGACGGGAGAGGGAGCCAACTTCAGCCCCGCAGGTGCCTCTACCCCCAAAGCAGTTGGATTGAAGTATAACCCTGCAGAACAGCTAGGCGATGAGAATGAGGGTGGAGAAATACTAGGGAGGCGATAGAAAGGGTGTGTGTGTGTGTGTGTGTGTGTGTATACGTGTGTGTGTGTGTGTGTGTGTGTGTGTGTGTGTGTGAACAAGGCGAAGGAGGGAGGCAGAAAGAGCCAAGGGAGGTCAAGGATTTCCAGAGTGCTGGTCATCATAGCATCCTTGCAGGAGCTGCAAGGAAAGGTGTTTCCTGCTAGCTCCGAGCGCTGTCCAGGGTTCTGACCGCGTAGTGGCTCAGGCTGCTGTGCCAAAGGCGACCCTTTCATGCCCAGTACCTTTCTTCCATTTCTTACAGCGATGCAAAGCCCCAAAGGTTCCGGTACATAGTCGCACACAGGATACCCACCTCCTCTCCATCTCGAAAAACAAGTTATCTATTGCGCTTCTTCTACAGTAAGCTTCATTTCTTAGGGGTGCAACATACCAAACCCCAAGACAGGGAGACTGCCAGGCGTTGCCTTAGTAACTAATATGGCTTTTCCACAAGCTGTCGAATTTACATTTACTACTAAAATTGTATGCCAGGGTCTCTTTAACCCTTATGTGTTAAAGTAAGAGGTGCTTCCATTGTTTAGTGTTGCTTTTAAAACACCGCTTCTACCTTGCAAAGAGTTCCCAAATTTTCTTCTGGGAAAAAGTTGATCCTTTCAAATCCGGGAAAGTTCTCTTAGGTTGAAGGATTTAGCCCCTCCCCTCTTCTCCTCTCCCTCCCCTTGCCGCCCCCCATCACCTAAGAAAGCTTGATAGGGTTGGAGGAACAGAGAAGGGACCTGAGGTTGGAGGAGGGGGCGGGTCAGCAGGGTTCTCCACCTCTCCGGACCTAGGTTGCGAGCGAGCAGGGCACAACACTTCCATCACTGACCAGAGCTGCCTTCCTGGCTGTTTCCGAAGGGTGTGTTGGAGTGAAGTGGACGGGACAGTAGTTAGCATCACAGACCCCGGAGTTTAAACACAATTCCTCCGATGACCTGGTTTGTCTTCCTTCTTTCATCATCAGCGTCCAGCTCACGGACACTAACAAACACGCCGCGCATTGCACACCTGATCTACACACCTTCGGGCACCAGCAAAAAAAAACCGCGACTTGATTTCCTCTAAGCACGCCCCCAGGGTGTGGGAGAGGTCGCAGAGGACCAGCAGGAGGAAGCGGATCCGGCCCAGAGAGGAGGTGGGGGAGGCAGAGAAAGCGTTGAGCCAGTCCTGTTGGTCAAAGGCTCGAAGCTTGGAAAGGCGGCCGCGGACGTCTGGGTGGTTCGCGCTGGGAACCTGCAGGCAGGACTGGCGTGAGAACTCGGCTGGCCCGCGGTGTATAACGTCTCCGCCACAATGGTCCGGTTCCTCTTGGTTTTCTTCCCAATAATCTTTTTGGAGATGTCCATTTTGCCCAGAATTCCCAATAGAAAAGTATTGCTGGCGGGTGCTTCGTCTCAGCGCTCTGTGGCCAGGATGGACGGAGATGTCATTATTGGAGCTCTTTTCTCAGTCCATCACCAACCTCCAGCGGAGAAGGTACCCGAAAGGAAGTGTGGGGAGATCAGAGAACAGTATGGTATCCAGAGGGTGGAGGCCATGTTCCACACATTGGATAAGATCAATGCGGACCCAGTGCTCCTGCCCAACATCACCCTGGGCAGTGAGATCCGGGACTCCTGCTGGCACTCGTCCGTGGCTCTGGAACAGAGCATCGAGTTCATCAGGGACTCTCTGATTTCCATCCGAGATGAGAAGGATGGGCTGAACCGCTGCTTGCCAGATGGCCAGACCCTCCCCCCAGGCAGGACTAAGAAGCCTATAGCTGGAGTGATCGGTCCTGGCTCCAGCTCTGTGGCCATTCAAGTCCAGAATCTTCTGCAGCTGTTTGACATCCCACAGATCGCCTATTCTGCCACGAGCATAGACCTGAGTGACAAAACTTTGTACAAATACTTCCTGAGGGTGGTCCCTTCTGACACTTTGCAGGCAAGGGCCATGCTTGACATAGTCAAGCGTTACAATTGGACGTATGTCTCCGCAGTCCACACGGAAGGTAGGCACTCTATTTGGTAAAGAAAAGTACCAAGAGAGCCAAGGAATTGTATGGTTTGTGCCCAGGAACGTAGTTTATGTAGTCTCTGATTATTTCTAGCACAGCAGGAAGCTGACTTTAACCTTCTCAGTGCACGCCCACCTAGGCATTGCTTTTTATCTTCCTTTCGTGGTAATTACAGTGCAGTGAAACCATATTCCAGGGTGTTGGGGGGGATGTATAAAAGATATGAAAATTGCATGCAAAGGTGTCCAACTATAGATTTGACTTGCAGATCTTATGGTGGTTTATGCTCATAGTCTTGTGCGTGTTTGGTAAGGCTTATTGGTCGAAGGAAAAGGTACTGGATTTCTCTTCAGTGAGTGGCCAATGGTTTCCCAAGCTTAATGGGCTAATCAAAGTGAGTCATTCACGCGCGCGCGTGCACACACGCACGCATGCGCGCGCACACACACACACACACACACACACACACACACACACACACACACCACTACCTGTCTTCTGTGCATTTGAAATGTGAGCTTGTGAGTTTTATCTTGTCTTAAACATCTGAAGATATACTCCATTGTCCTCTGGTGCTCCTACTTACATACACAAAACTTCCTCAGGATTTCAGAAAGACACACTTTAAATTCTGGAATACCTTACATATAAAAAGTAAATATTTTAAACATCTGTTTATTTTTATGTGTTTATTTCTTGTGCCAAAATCATACACCCTCCCCTACAAACTTACCTTGTTTTTATGAGAAATGGTGCTGAGAATATCTTGGAGTTAAGTTTAGGCTTATAGTCTTCAATATCATGACCTTAATACTCAGAATTTAAAGAGCGATCAATGATAAATTGATAGATTTAAAATGGCTTTTTAAAAATGAGGTAGTCTGATCTAAGGTTAAAGCTTTGCTCCCGCTCCCCCTCCAGAATATTATGGATGTGATTTCTTGGAAACGTCTTTCATAAAAGATTTTCTTTACTATGTTCACTGAAGCTTATATGAAGTTTTTGCTAAAATGAGATTTCTTTTGAGCTCATCGATTCTAACTTCCCCTAGAGGGTTTAAAAGGAAGCAGAGCACCTGGCTATAAATTAACTTCCAAGGAACCAATTCACAATTATTTATCTGACATGTACAAGATATTGAAAAGTATTGCAGTAGTATTTTATTAAAATTAAAATAGTGAAAGAAAGGACGTAGACATGGTTTCACTTAAAAATGCACAATAGTCAAGTCACCAAAGTGGTCCATAAAGGGGACAGAGTTTTCCCAAACAAACCAATGTAATGTAGATTTTCACAGAATTGCAGACTTGGCTGATAGAAAAAAAGAGAAAGAAACAAAAACCTTCCTGTTTCCTGACTCTTGCTCCTGAATCTTGGTTTTTAGTGATGACCTTTCATACCTCTTTTGAACACAAGCTCACTGTTCTTTAAACCACAGCTTTAAATCCAGCAGTTAATTCTTTACATCTTAAGGGGTGAATGCTAATTTACTACATTCGAGTATTACAGTTTCTTCTAGTGTCTATGAAGACCCTTCTGCAAGTTCAAGTTAAAACGTATGAAGTATCTGCACCAGGGAGTTCAACCAGAGAGGGATAGCGAAACTCAGATTGACTGTGATTCAGTTGAATAGTTAATATTTTTACTATTGACCTCAGTAATTGGTTACTGATATCAGAAGTGTGAGTTCTTTCCTCAGGAGGGAGTGTGGCAACTCATCCTTTTTATAGCAGCTTTATTTCCTACACTTTGTTATGTTTTGTTTTGGTGGGGGCAATAGGAGACCCTCCTCCCTTAAATCTGGTCTTCAAAAACATTATATTGCTAAAATAACCGCTAATCATGATTTTTTTTTCTTGACCAAAGAGTCATGTTTTGGAAACGTGTTGGACTTGGATTTGCGATATATATATATATATATATATATATATATATATATATGTGTGTGTGTGTGTGTGTGTGTGTGTGTGTGTGTGTGTATGTATATGTATATATATATATGTATATATATTTTTTTGTTTGTTTTTGAGGAGACACCTACCCTGATTTACCCATATATTAGCTTGGGTTGCTTTGCTCCATTTCTGTCTTCTGATGGCTGTTGAATTGTCGCGTGGCAAGGACAGTGTCTTCACACTATAATTAATTCCAGACTACATCTTGCTCACAGAGCATCCTCACTTAGATATCTTTCTTCTTTTTAATAGCAATTGGCTTTTCCTTTTATGACGAGTTTTACCTGTGAAAACAAAATTGCTTTTATATTCTTCAAACTCCAAATAAATTTTGTATGAGCTCCTTTGAGGAAGCACCAACTGTAAATTTATTTTTTTCTGAGGCTCTGCCCTCTGCTTCTCAGGGATTGTGGTGTATTTCCTTGGTTCACATAGTAATTTTCCTGCCTTCAGACTGATGGGGTCACCTACTGGTGACAGTTTCCTGTCAAGAAGCCGTGAAAACCACATACCAGGGCTGTCTCTGCCATTTGGGCAAGGGGACTGCTGGTGGTGATACACGAGTTTGAAGTTAGAAATCCAGGGCCTCTAGTGACCTGTACCCTTCTTTCCAAATCAGCCACTCACTGGTCAATTTGGCACTGCTATTTTTTTTTTTTTAATGAGGAACAAACCTAATACAGTTCATATAAAAAGCGTCAATACTAGTGTACCTTAATTTCTATAATTAATTTGGATGACTTTTAAAAAAATTGTAGGATGGCATGTGTGTTCATTTTCCCTATTGTATGACATAAAATTATTACCTTATTTCACATTGTAATAAGCTGTGAGCTATTTTCTGTTTTGTTTTTCACCATTGGATTTAGTAGCCATATTCTTTTGTATGGTTCTCAGGCTTCTGTTATTTGTACTGAGGTCCCCACCACAACTGTCAGTTTAATTGATGGGAGAAATGGTGCACACAGTTTCTTCAGTAGAGGTCCCAGACACTTCCCTGACTGCCTCTTGAACATTGTGAGACTGAAGGGGAAGACGGGCATTGAAGCTATAGACCCCTTTTTATGTATCAATAAAATTCAAAGCCACTCTGGATGCTCACTTGAAATGGGTGTCTTTAAACATGCTACGCACAGAGTACTAAAATAACTGCTTCTAAGAAGACTGTCTTGGGCAAGGACAATTTATTCCATTCTTCTGATGAAACAAAGATTGCTGGGCAAAAGTCAAACCAATCATTCCAAAAGTGTGTACAAACCAACTTCTAAAAGTTAAAATTTCAGACTGTTAAATTCAAAGCTTTGAGAAAGTCCATTAATGTAGTGTTTGAGTTTGAGCTTTCACAGGGTTTCCTTAGGATTGGATTTATTTCCATCCATCTGCGTTAAGACTTTTGTTCTTAGTGTTTTGTCTCAGGTAGGCAGATAACCAGTGACATTAATGGTGATGTTTCCATTCTGCAAATATCCACCTTAAGGCAACTGCTTGAGTAGTCGGGTTTCAATTTGGTGCCACATTTCTTTTGACATGTATTTATACTTGATATGCAGTTGACTTTTTTTTTTGCTTCTTTTCAATATTTGATTTTTTTTCCTTTTTAGAAACACTTTCCCATTTGATGTAAAGCAATTTAAAATCTCATGGTATCAGGGGAAAATCCTAGTAAGTCATAAATACATAATGTAAGCATGATTTGTCTCACAAAATTACATATACCAACTTCTACTTGAGGGTGTCTATTGTCATAGTTCCTGTCCATGTTCCAGTATCTTGTTTTTATTGTTTTGTCGTTTGAGACAGGGTTTTTCTGTGTATCTTTGGAGCCTGTCCTGGAACTAGCTCTTATAAACCAGGTTTGGTCTTGAACTCACAGAGATCTGCTTGCCTCTTCCTCCCCAGGTCTGGGATTAAAGGCGTGTGCTACCACCTCCCAGCTCCAGTATCTTTTCTTTATCATCTTGATTGCAATCTGTTTCGCAGGAAGTTCTACTCCAAATTGTTCTGTTTTATCATAGAGCTAGGAATAGTATTGTCTTGAAAGATTACTTGGACCAACACATGAAAGATACCAAAGCTGACACCACTCTTCCCTTAATCAAGCTCTAGACTGCTAAATTGTGGTAAGTATTCTAATGAGATGATTTATGGGTTCATTTCTGAAGCAGAACTGCACAGGACTCAGCCATTTTCAGAACTCCTGAAACGGATGCTGGAGTTTCTAGCACGTCTCCCTTGGGACTGAGTCATTTGAGAAGGCCGGGCCCCTCTTCTGGCCGATGGATGCTCATCACCACTGTGTCTTCTCGTCACTTCCTTTACTCACCTTTCCTTCTCTTTTCCTCATGCTTATTGCTGACATCGAGCAGATCTTACACAAATTAAGTCTTAAAAATCTCCTAAAACTCTGTGTCACTACCAATAGCCATACCCTGCTTCCATGTATCCTTGAGTGTCTCTTAATTTTTTGTTACTATGACTACTATTATATATAAGAAAAGAAATACCATGTTTTCCTTTTAAGTATGAATTTATTTTTCTTACTGCCTTTGTAACCTAGTGGTACATTCTGAGGCGTTTAAATATCACTTGAACATCCCAGCTCTATGTGGTCAGGTCACAGTAACATGCACTAAAACCTGAGTAAAATATCAGGTGTGAAGCCTCGTACCCCTTCATCAGTGACCCACTTCCTGGATATTGCTGGCATTCAGTTAGGCTAGTGTGAATTTCCCTCGGAGAATGTGCTTCCATTCATAACCATCCCACCTGGTAGATACATAGATGGCTATGTGTAGTTTAAATGAAGAGTCATTGCAACAGATATTAAACTACACATGAACATTAGCTACATAAAAACTGGAAGACTTTTGAAGGAGGTTACAGTTACCAGGTGGATTATAGTCTAAAGAGGATGGAGTTTGCCAAGTGTGAAATAATCAACAGGCAAACATTAATCATTGCAGCTTAGACATTTGGAAATGCTGGTTTATAAATGTTTAGGAAGCACTGAAAGAAAATACTATTTAGTGTAATTATTAG